TCTCTTTAAAAAAAGTATATATGACAAAAATCAATCAAAATTAACTCAAATAAAATAGAAAAATATTTATAAAATTTAAATATATCACTTACCAATAATAAAACTCTATATTGAACCTAAAAGACTCATAAGAGAACATCCAAAAGAGAAAAGACCTTTAAGACTTTTAATATTTATGATACAAAAATAATTCTTATATTTAGACGAATAAAATAAGATTCTTAAAAATATTAGTTAGTCTTGGTTCATCAAACAATTCTTAAATTAACATAATTAATCGTATTCTCGTGAGACCGTAAATCTGACTGTTGTTTAAAATAATATTAGTTAAATTTTTTTTATTTTAAATAAGAGACATCCAATATACATTATAATTAAAAGAAATAAGAGCCTCCTAGTTTTGGTAGACATGCCTAAAAAAGCCCACTCTTTGAAGAAAAAATATATTAAAATTTTAAGAAGTAAGACAAATATAAATATATATATATATATATATATATGTATAATCTCTTTATTCTGGTTCTTACTTCTAAAGACAATATCTCATTCATTTGAATAGAAGACAATTTTATTCAGCTCATCCATTCAAAAATTCCATATATATCCAATTCTCAATCATACAAAGGCCGCCTAAGAGCCGTAGTCCAAAAAATTAATATTACCATCTTTTCTAGGAGTAAAAGTCTTCTTCTTAATATATATAATCATATATATATATATATTTTTTTTTTTTATTTAAAAAAATTATTATTATTATTATATGTTTCCGTATAAATATAAGTTATTTAGGTGCTAAATTATAATTATCAAACTTTTATCGGTCTTGTAAAAGTTTTGAACGATAATACGTATTAAAAATATAATTTCTTTTATTAATAATATCATACTTTAATTGTTTCTCCATTGAAAACAAACTCACTTTCTTTGGCCGCCGATTTGGAATTTAGATTATCTTGTTATCAAATAATAAAATATAATTATAAACATGTACTCTTTAATTTTTGACTTCAAATAAAATTATAAAAGAGTACCGGACACGCGTCAATTTAAATATATAAAAACTATTGAGTAATTCCAGACTTATAATGTACATGCATGCATGCATATCTATATATATATATATATAGTATTATATGTATCTTTCTCTGTGTACGCACGTTTAATAGTTGTTTGGAAGATTTCAGAAATTAATAAATATGCTTAAAGCATTGGAGTGTTTTAATAAGTTGTTATTTTAAAGAATAAATTACTAAAAAGAATTATACATTTTTTTTAGTTAC